TTGTTATTTAAACCCAACAAGTCCACCCAATGATAGCTTGGACTACAATTAATGAGCAAACAAGTAACTCAAAGAAATTGGAAGAAAGCAAGAATATCTCAAAGCCTAAACAATTATATATGGACAAAGCTTGAAGAAAGGGGTAGATAGTATGGTGAGTGTTTAGGATTCAATGTCAAAGTATTTATGAATCCATTTGAAGCTTATCTCTGTAGGACCATACATATCGATCATATCATCATTCACATGCATGTTCCCATATCCACTAGCAATAGATACATGATCGAAGTCATTGTTAAAAGAATGAGTTAGTTCAAACTTGCATAAGCTTTTAAAGAACTCAATACTTGAGCTAGAATTTTTTTTTTTTTTTTTCCCTGAATTGGGGTATTTTTATAATTTTTTTCAAAAAAAGTACAATTACAATCGGAGAAAAGCTCCAAAAAAACTGAAAATGAAATGAAATTCCACTTTCAGCAAAACAACCAAAACAAGACAAAAAGGAACATTACAGATCAAAAACAATCAAAAGATTTGCTAAGCTAATATTTAGAAATGTAATAACATCCCAAATAATAGCTTGCACAACAAATGAACATTGTTCTTGAGTCCCTGTATGAAGCATGGAATTCCTATGGGACCAAATCTTCCAAATAATAACCGGGAAAATGCCATTTAAAATCTTAGCTTTGAAAGTCTTGGACGCAGTGTGCTGTAAAAACCAATCCACAATGTGGTTCAAGCTTAAAAATTTTGGGACCTGAATCTGCAACAAATCAAAAACTCCACTCCAAATCTTTGAAACAAACTTACCATAACAGAACAAATGGTCATTCAAATCATCCCCAACAAAACAGTTATGACAAACAGATGCTACATGCAGACCTCTTTTCTGTAAATTCACAAAAGAAATATTTTTGTTGTGTAGAATGATCACAACACTTAAACTAATCCTAGGCCTACATTTCTTCCAACATAATCTAGCCCATTTGACCTTGTTTCCAGAAGCTTTGCAACAATTCCAAGTTGCTTTCAATGAAAATTTTCCATTATTCCACTTAACTTGATCCCTACCAGGTTGAATACTTATCTGCTGAATAGCATTTTTCACATTTTCAGAAAAATCTTAAGGTAGATTCCAATTCCCATGTTGCAAAATAACAAACAAGTTAGTTTGTCTGTCAAAACCTCTAAACCTATTAGCCCCAAATAACTGAATAAGAGACTGATATTTACACCAAGGATCTGTCAACAATTTGAACTGCATTCCATCTCCAACCTGAAACTTCATATTATCAAGAAGCATCTCTCTAGTCCCCAACAGGTACTTCCAAACAGCTGAATCACTCACCTTTGGAACAACAAGCCAAAAGTTAGTCTTATTTAAGTACACTGCCCTCAACCAGTGGGTCCAAAGTATACTTGAGCTAGAAATGCTAAGACCTTGTTAAAAAAGGTTATTGCTGTCAACTATAAAATAGTAAAGCTGACTTTTAGATAGTTGAATGTTAAGGCTGACTTCTAAATAGTTGAATGTTAGATTCAACATTGTATAGTCAATATTGTCACCTTTTAATAGCATGCTTTCTAGAAGCACACCAAGCTTGTGTTCACACCTTACCTAACTTCACCTAACCCGTTAGATTTTGCCTATATATACCTCTTGTATCATTCATTGTAATTAATTCAATACAATATATTTTACTCATGTACATCAATCATATGTTTTATTTTGGTCTCTAAAAAGTAGAGTCTAAGGCATTGAACTTACTTTTTCATCCATAAAGCCTTTGTTACCATGACTTGGTAAATGACTTTACCATCCGAGCATTTCTCATGAAAAACTATTTCTTAGTTTTTTGGCTGAGTATGGTAAATATGATTTTTTGAATTAAAGATGTTTTCAAACTAATTTTTTCTGGTAATTACTCCTTATACTTTAAATAGCCTAAACTGATTTTATGGGATTTTTTTTATCAATTCTACATAGAGGATCAAGTTTTACCAAAACTTTCGGGAACCTCAATTTGTACTAAAACTGAATTTTTACATTTTGAGTTAGTTGGATTTTAATTTTTTTGTATTTTTTATTGAATCCAAATAGGGGGTACTTCCTTATTTACTTAAATGTTTTCAATGAAAATAAGGTATACAGAAGTAACAACCCATGTTGTCTATCAGATGACTAAAACAGAAAATTTATTTATTTTTCATCTGACCGATCAGATCAATCATACTATTGATAGGATGCCAAAACCAGTGAACTCGCATCTTTTGTGATTTATTAATTAAACAATAATTTTTTCTTTATTAGAGAAATTCATATTGTCTAGTTTACTCGATCATTCCAATTAAATGATGTGCCAATATGTCTCAAGGTAACAAAAAATTATTGTTCTAAGGTATACGTAGGGGTGTTCAAATAATCCGTCAATCTGGTCCAAACCAATCCGATCCGTGTGGTTTGGTTTGGTTTTCATATCTCATGGTTCGGTGATGGTTTAGAAAAATAGCAATCTGCTATTCGCGGTTCGGTTAAAGAATTGGCCCTGAAAAAATTGATCCGATCCGTTAACCGAACCGAACTGATCCGTTACATTAATTATATATTAATATATTATATATACTTACTATCATTTATTACTAGCCTAACTATTCATGGCCTAACCTGAGCTTTAGCAAAGGTCAAAAAAAAAAAAAAAAAAAAAAAAAAAAAAAAAAATCCTATCAGCCATTCAGCCTAGCCCAATCCATAGTGAAACAAAAAGGCCTAGCTCAGCAAACCAAAGTTACAAACAAAATTTATGAGGCCTCAAAATTGATAGGCCGATGGATGTTGGGTCACCAAAAAAATAAAATAATTAGGGCATATCATTTAACCTTGCCAGTTGCCCCTCCAATCTCCATTCTTGTTCTCAACCCTCAAGATTGATCTCCCGAATCAAAAGTTCAAGACCTATATAAAAAGGTCTGTTTTCATATAATTGTCTTTTATTGTTCTCTAAAAACTATTTTCTGTTCTCTAAATTCTTGAGAATTATTTTCAGAATTACAAACCAAGCAAGCTCTATGGGTCTGCTTGGTTTGTAACTTTGAGAATAGTTTTATGTTTACAGAAAATTGCACAAAAAATTCTGTTTGGTTAAGTATTCTGAGAACTGTTTTTTGAAAACTCATTTACAAAAGGCCTATTTTCAGATAACTGTCTTTTATAAGTCTCTAAAAATAGTTTTTTGTTTTCTGAATTCTTGAGAATGGTTTTCAAAATTACAAACCAAACATACATATCTTTCTCTAGTCTCTGCAATTGCGAGAATCAAAAGTTCAAAACCCACATCAGCATACGCCGCATATCACTATATCAGATTGTCTCTAGTTTCTGCAACTTCTTTTCCATAGCTGATCACCTGTTCAAATGAACTGCATACACCAATTTTTTTCTTTCTTAGCAAACAAAGCATTATTGAAGAATTTTTATTTAAAAAACAAAACTACTTGTGTCATGGAATTTAATGTCCTAAATTAAAAAAATTGTTTTTTTGAATGAAATTTAAATATTTGTAATTTTCTAACAAAATGTTTTTACTTTAGATAAATTTTGAATTTTGTTTTTCTTATTTTTCGCATAATGGCCAAAGTTAAAACACAAATTATATATTAATTAAATACATTATATAATTAATAATTAAAAATTTTAAACGTGACAATCTCTATAAATACATTTATGAGAAATAGCTAATAATTAAATTTATACAGTCCCCCCCCCCCCCCAACCTAAATTTTTCTCTTTATTTTCTCTTTTACTGTTCAAATTCCTTAAATTTTCTTAATAGAAAAGTCAAAATTTTCTTCTTCAATTGAAACTTTTTAACTTTTTCCTTTTAAAGTTCTTTCATTTTTCTTTTTCTACTTTTAGCCTTAAAATTCTTCTTTTTAACGTGCATATTTGAATAATTTTGTTCTTCTTTGCCTTTTGAATTTTATAGTTGTTATATATATATATTTATATATATATATATATACACACACTATGTATTGTTTTTTTATTTGGCAGGGTGCCCCCTCACTTGAAATCCTAGTTCCGTCCGGTTAGCAAGTCACACCAACTTCTCCTAGTTCCGTCCGGTTAGCAAGTCACGCCAACTTCTCCATCATTGATCATTGAGTACGTAATACGATTGATTGAATTAAATCCATTGCCTTTGGATTAATTAGAGATGATTTTATAAGAATTAATTTTCTAAAGTAATTGATTTAAAAAAAAAAATCCTAAGAACTCGACATCACCATATAAAATAATAATAATAATAAATACATCCAAGTTTGGGTCATATATATATAGTCTTATAAGGGGTATTATAAGGTTGGTATTTTAGCTTTTGGGACAGTACCTCTCTAAAGCCCAAAAAATATCTCCCCAAAATTTTGGGGGCGAGAAATATTAGCGCCATTAGCCCAATACAGCTTTTCGTGAATTTTAACTCAAATAAGACTACAGAATGCTCTTTCACAGCCCAAGACAAATTCCTTGCTCTCTCTCTCTGCTCTCTCTCAAGAGGAAAACGGTGCCCGAGTTTTCTCTCCCTGTATTCGACGTCAGACTGAAGCCCCAATCCTTTAGGCTCAGTTTGGTAGAGTGGGTTTGAAGGGAAAGGGAAGGGAAGGTGATGGAAGGTTATAAAAAAATTGTGTTTGGGTAAAATTGGTGGAAGGGAAGGAAAGGAGAGGGAAGGGTTTGGAGGGTTAAGGCAAGGCTTGAACAGTAGATTTGTTAACCTCTCAAAAATGGGCGGAAACGGAAGGAAAAGGAAGGCAATGGCACATGTGATAATCGTGATGCCAATTTTACCCACACAAAATCAAGGATTTAGTTAAGCAAAACAAGAATTACAGACCTTAATTGGTTGATTTAGCAAAACAAAACCCGTACATATAAGTTAGCCATTGCACAGAGAAAGAGAGGGGGGAAGCTTACAGCGGCTGAAACTTGCATACAGCGAACCCGAACTGGAACAACCGGCGATGGAAACGGCGAACCCAAACTAGAACAGCGGGCAAGGGAAACTGAAAGATATGGGTTTTGATTTTTGGAACAATCTGAAACAATATGCCGATATGGGTTTTGAACCTTTGATTCTTGCAAATGATAGATAAACATATGGGTTTGGAACTTGGATTGTTGTAGTTTTGTGGTTTGCAGTTGCAAAAGAGAGAGAGTGTTGCAGAGAGAGAACGAGAATAGAGATGGAGGCGGGGACCCTAAAATGATGACCCTAAAAATATTATATTTATATTAATATTTTTCTTTTCTTTTTCTTTTTCTTTTATTTTCTTTTTTTTTTTTTTTTTTTTTACAAATATTACATACTTAAGTTATTAATTTTTATTTTAAATTATAAAAGGGTATAATAGTAAATTTACCGAAATACTTTCCTTTCCTTTCTTTCCCCAAACATAATTATTATCCTTCCCTTCCTTTTCCTTCCTTAATCAACCAAACACAATACTAAATTAAAATTATCCTTCCCTTCCCTTTCCTTCCATTTCCCTCATAACTAATCTTATCCTTCCCTTTCAAACCCACCCTACCAAACATAGCCTTAATCCGTTCAGTACTCGCAATCTCTTGGTTCAAAAAAAAAAAAAAATTTAGGGCAAATGATTTCACCTTCCCCAATCGCCTCCATCTCTATTCTCGTTCTCAACTCTGAACTTGCCCTCTCTCTGTCTCTGCAACTACAAACTACAAAATCTACAAGAATCAGAAGTTCAAAACCCATACACTTCAGTTTATCTATCTGTCTGCAAGAATCAAAAGTTCAAAACCTATTACCTATATCAAAACCCATATCGGCATATCATTTCAGATTGTTCAAAAATCAAAACCCATATCTTTCTGTTTCCATCGCCTGCTGTTCCAGTTCGGGTTCGCCGTTCGCAAGCTTCTGCCGCTGGCCCGCTGTCTCTCAACTCTCAAGCTTGCCCCCCTCTCTCTCTGCTATGGCTAACTTGTATGTTTGGGTTTTGTTTTAATTTTGTTTTCTAAATCAATTAATCAAGGTCTGTAATTCTTGTTTTGCAAACTAAATCCAATTTGGTGAAATTTTTTATGATCTTTTGTATATAGTTTTATTTTATTTTATGAATTTTAGTTATAAATATTTGTGAAGATAATGATTGAAACAGGATCTCCCTTCGCAGGATTTGGAAGACTAATTGGTAAATTTGGGTTGAACTTGAGTCTTGAAAAAGCTGAAGGGCCTTATCGTGGATTATAATTTTTTCAATTACAGCATCCTACGGTCCTACCATTTTTTAGACTGCTTTCATCACTTCAGACTGGTTAGTCATTTCTTCAATTATTCAATATATATATTTTAAATTCCAGTTTTTTTCATGCTAATAATAAATTGGATGTTAACCGCATAAAGCATAAATCTGTCAATTAATATGGGCACCCAATTGTATATGAAAGAAAGTACAAAAGAAAGTAACAAAATTTATTAATATATAAACAACAAAATTTTCATTTTTTGTAGACATTTGTTCTTTGAGCAACTTGGAGGAGCTTGATTTGAGTGTTAGTGTGAAGGGGTTGATTACAGGAAAAGGTATTATTGTGTCATATTCATTGCATTGCATTTTGAGGTAATCTACATTTTATTTTAGCAAAACAAATTTTTTTTGAATGTAAATGCTCATATTAACTAACAAATCAAAGGAGCAATATTTGAATATAAGTTATCAATGAGTTAATGCATTTAAACTAAGTCACATTACTTAAAGAATAAAAGAAAAGGAAAAAGTACTTACTACGATTTGAATGTGAGGAGCAAACCTTAATCTCTCGTCCTTGAAAGAACTTACTAAGCCTCAATGGCATAGCACTACTTTATGTAAACTACCAGTAACAGAGCTTTGAGCTTGTATTAGGATTGCCCAAAATGATAGATATATTGGTGTAATATATATGATATAGAAAAGATAAATTTGAGTTGTATATATATAAGGAAGCCCTCACTACCTTCTATTTTATAGCTTTATAAGTTGTTGGGTAACATTCGTCTGCATTTTAGAATATAAATAATGGAAAGAAATGTTGATTATTATATAGAACTGGGTTCTTCCTACACTACATGTGATATGACATACTTAATATAAAATTTGAAATTAAGAATCACTTTTGTTTCAAAACTAGGACATATGCATTATATAAAGTTTTTTTTTTTTTTTTTAGTGGTGTGTGGATGAGGCTTCATTTCATGTTATGTCATGGTGGATCGTCTAAGTTGTGAGAATAGATAAGGAAGAACAGGGGTCTATATCATCAAGGTTGCGGAAGTTTTTTCTCTAAAGGTTGAAAATATTACATTAATATATATATATATATATATTTGGTAAAAGGGTAAGCTTTATAATATAAAAGAATATATACAACATGTCCAACTCCCCAATGGAAAAGTTTTCCAAGGTAGAGTACCATAACCAGTGGTGGCATTACAAACATTAGGGGCCTGTAGCAGCAACATTGTGCAAAACATTAGAACCATTACAAATAGTTGGAACAGCACTGTAAGAACCATAATGGAACAGCACAGCTATGTGAGGAACTAGTGTTATCAATAAACTTCAGCAGTAGCAATGTGAGGAACCATAGTGATTGTAGAAATTGATCAAAGCATAGTCACAGTAAAAACCAGGATTGGCCACTTGCATGGGGCATCCCTGAGAGAAAAGTTGTTGTAGTGCTTCAGGAGATCCTATCTTTCTTCGTTCTGTATCATTTCTTAGCTTGAGGGATGCGAATCTTGCTCTGATGCAGTGAATATTGCTGAAGTGATTGTGATGAAATCATGAAAATGTGCTTAAAAAGTTGAATATTTTTTTCCCTTGCAAATTGTGTGTTGTGCCTACCCTATGAACTTGAGTGTTTGGCTCTTTGTAGTGCAATGCATTCACAAGTTGTATCCTGTTACTTGGATTTTCTTTCTTCTCTTTTCTCTGTTTTTGTTTCCTCTCTTTGTCTCTTGTGATTCGATTGTTGTTGCAGGCAGAGGAAAGATCATCAAACCCCGCCAAATGGGTACCAAGAATTCTTCTTCCAAAAGAAAAACCTTCAAGACCCCCTCTGAGGTATCTCTCTTTGTACTATCTCCTTCTCTCTCTCTCTCTCTCTCTCTCTCTCTCTTTCTCTCTCTCTCTCTCTATATATATATATATATATATATATGTCGTAATTCTTAATCCATAGTAATTTCAAAATTCAATCAATTTGAGCTAAAGAAAATCATGTAAACTCATTAAAAATTGTACTTTCATATCCAAAACTTAATTTAAAAGATAATAGTTCTAAATATAGAGATTTCAGTTCTAAAATCAACATTTTTGGTTTCATTTTCCACACAACTCTTCATTTAAATTCTAACAATTTTTCAACTAATTTAATGCAAATATGAAACCAAAACAAGGCAATAAAAATTAGTAATCCATAACCAAATCTAGAGAAATGAAATTGAGAGCATATCACAATAAACTTAACATACAATACTCTAAAATATTAGGGCAAATCATGAAATTGAATATAGCATTAATCAATTTTATGATTGCACATTTTTAATGCTTTTTACTCATGCTCGAGGGGGTCACGTGCCTTTAACTGACCAATTTTGCGGTGTATAGGGGGTCACGTGCCTTAAGTGATCATTTTTTTTTTCTTTTTTAATTTTTTATTATTGTGCATAAATGTAGGTCAGGATATAGTTGTGGATGGAGTTTGGTTTTCATTCATCGCATTTTAATATAGAATGAGATAACTATCTTATGGTCGATCACATGCTACAGAAGCTGATAGATATAAAATTAAATTTAATCATGCTATAAAGCCAAAATCTCTCTATATATACACACACTCCACAAGTCATGATAGAATTTAAACATTACATGTACTTGTTAGTAGAGTTTTGTTTTTTTTTTTTTTTCCCATCAAATTTCAATTTGCAGTCATATGTTTAGTTTGAAAGAAACATAGTTACATTAAAAGGGGTTGGTGATTCTTTAATCTTTTTTCTATGTAGACTATGTTCTAAGAAAAATCACTTATAAAAAAGAAATGTTGTAAGAAAAATCAAACACAGATAGTTCTCATGAGATACAAGAAATAAAATGTTTTATCCTGCTTTTGATTGTGATTATATGAAATTGATTTAGAATAATATAAAAGTCCTTATCCTGAAGGATATACAATAGCTTTAATTTCGCTTTCTTTAATTTGTTTAATAGTTGGACGGGATTGTCTAAGGCGTAATGCAAGTTGAGCAAAGTACATTGGAGAAGTTACTTTGAAAAATATACATGAGTGACATTTTTTTAATTTTTTTGTAATGTCATGTTCTTTGAAAGACATAGGTTTGATCTCCTTAAATGTAAAACCTTGTCTTGCTTGTTATATTATATATGATATAATTTCAGGCCACTCTTTTTTGTTGAGTTTCATTAATAGAATGTAGAGCCACAAAAGGTCTATGAATTTTTTCGTGAGTGGCTATGAATGCAAGAAGCATGTTCTTTTTTCATGGACGAAAATGAATTCATTTTTATACCAATACTAGGACATTTTCTGTATATGCCTTAAACAGAGCGGTGGAAAGAAGAGTTTTATGGGAGGACACGAGACACTATGCCTCAATTTTTGTGCAGTGATTTATTACACCTACGTCCTCTTGTTCATCTTAGTAGGTAAAAACCTACATGGAAATATCAAGACAGAAAAATAAAGAAATATAGGAAGAATTAGTATCTACTTGAGTATTTGATTTTATTAGTTCTCTCAAATTCTACCAACTTTTCTTCATTTCTCTTTGAAAAAAGTATTCAGAATCCTAAATGAATTTTGTAGCAGCATAACTTTTTCTTGGAATCATTTTTTTTTTTTTTTTTTTTTTTTTTTTTTTTTTTTTTTTTTTTTGACATAGGCACTAATTGTATTTGTTCATTATTTGTTTTGCAGATTTTTGGATGGGCTCATGCTACAAGACTTCAAGCTCTTTTTGTTTAAGATGGTTTAAGTAGTGTATGTATGTTCAGGTCTTTGAACTCTTTGTTTAGGAATCTATAGCTCATTTTTGTCTAAGATCTTGAAACCTTTTATTTAAGATACTAGCTTGTTTTGGTCCAAATTATTAGGGTTGAAATTGTTTTAGATGCTAAGACTCATTTTTTACCGCGATGGGCTATATTATGTATGTTGTAAACAATACATTTTTTTGTTGGTGTAACTTATGCAATATCGAGTATTTATTTGTTTGCATAATCGTGTTGATGTGATAAAAAAAAAATAAAATAAAATAAAATATATATATATATATATATATATATATTATTTCTTTTGTTTATAATGTTAATAATTTACAGGTTTGCAACAAATTCTTAACGTGCCACGATAAATATGTGGCCTATTTTTTATATTCGTCACAATATTTATTTTGGCTATTAAATTAAATTTTATTTTATTAATAATAGAATAGCCACGGATAAAATCCGTGGCCTATTTTGGATAGTTGCCACGACATATATTCGTAGGCAATTGAAATTATAGCCACGAATAAACTGACTTATTTTGGATATTTGTCACGACATATATTCGTGGGCAATTGAAATTATTGTCACGAATATACTTTGTGGCCTATTTTGGTATTTGTCATGACATATATTCGTAGGCAATTAAATTTATAGCCACAAATAAATTTTGTAGGAAAAGACTTATTCTGTCACGATAAATATTTTCGTTGCAAAATGATTGAATTAGTCACGATTAATTTCTATATCGGGATTGTTACTTGTCACAAAAATATTGTTATTTAGTGATGAAATAGTTTGTGGCAATAGAAGGTATTTTACTTCGAGTTTAAATTTGTGACAAAAGGTCCACATTTTACCACGAAAATTTTTAGTCGTGGTTAATTATTTGCATTCTGTGACGGGGCTACGCCCACGACCAAGCCACGAGCTATTTCTTATGGCTAAAAGGCTTTCGCCACGAAATTTGAAAGTTTTTACCACGAAGTGTCTTGTGGCAAGAATCCAAATTTGTTGTAGTTTAAATCCAAATCAATCAAATAAGCCTACAAAATTACATTTAAACACATAATTAAATTAAACACGTAAATAAATAATTAATTAATCAATTAAATAAAAAAATTGTAAATAAAATAATTAAATAAATGTCGAGACTATCCTTTAAAATTAAGAATATTACACGAGGTTGGCCGGAACCGCCAAAGGTGGCAAAAGAAACAGACAAACCAGATTCTTTGGAATATATCATCCTTGACAAAGGGCTGAATTTTTTTTTTTTTTTCTTCCCTTCAAATATCTAGATCTAGGCACTTATTGGGGCTAATAAAGTAAGCAATGTCTCTAAACTCAATTAGATGGGAGAAAGAAAAGCACAGAAAACGCACTTATTGGAGCTAACAGAGTAAGCAAAAGCAATCTCTCCAAAAGTCAATCTGTGTGCCTTTTACATAACAATTGGTAAGATGCTCTAAGAGATACAGCATTGGGTATTGGTGAGACTAATTAATGAGGGTAAAACAGACATTTTAAATTGTTGATATTTTAAAATAAAAGCAATTATAAAATTAAGGGTAAATTTATTTTTTTATATTTTTCAAAGGTGTCATTGACAGAAAAATTATTTTAAACTTAAATAATAGTAATTTTTGTTTATATTTTAATATAACATTTAGCCTTAATGTGATATTTGGCTAAAAAAAAAGTGTCATTGAAATTAATCAAAAAAAAAAATGAAGTAAAATTTAAAATTTGACAGAAGTGGCGGTAATCACTCTTTCCTAGGGTTTGTGTGAACCAGCACAGAAATGGCGGTAATCAGCACCACAACCACCATGATCATTGATTGTGAAACAAATCTTCCGTCCATCACTGTCACTTGTATCCGTGCGTCTGTTCCCTACATCACTGTTGAACTTCAGTGGCGCTCTCAGCCGTGAAATCAGATGCAGCCCGATCCGGTGCGCGACGACAGGGCTCCGCCAACGGCGGTGGAAAGAAGGTGTCGGCGCGGCTTTCTCAAATGCATCAACTCTTGCTTGAATTCGAGGAGAGAGCCGCTTCCCCCAGCATCGAACCTATTCCTAAAATCACACTCGGTAACTTCCATACAATTTGCTCTAAATAGTTGTTTTCTTTGTATCTGATATAAATTTAGAAACTATATATTGACTTTGGTGTGAAATTAGCATGCTCTTGTTGTTGCTTTTCGTATAAAGATGGATGTATTTAGTTACATATTGGTGTGGCAATGTGAATAGAAAGTGGTGAAATAAAATTGATTTTAACGAACATTTGATTGCAGAAAGTATAATTTAAACGAATTTAGGAGGGGGTGGTGGGCAACAATGGAGATTTGTTGGAGTGTGAAAGAGGTCCATGACTTTGGGGACGGAGAGAATTCCTCCAGTCAGACGTGTTTTTTGATTACTCATGAAAGAGACCACAATTCACTCATGTTTAATTTTTTTGTTTTTTGGTTTTACAGAAGTGTCAAGCTTTTATTGGTCTAGGTCCCTATCGAAAGGTTGTTAGGCATGCATTAGGTCAACCCATGACTCTTATCAAACATGGTTTCTATGGTGCACATATATGTCTCTCTCACTTTTCTCTCTGAGCTGGGACGAGGTATTCTGCTCAAAACACCCTTCAATCAAAATTCATGTTATTTGCTTGTTTTTGTTTTATTTATTTATTTATTTTCAGATTTTAGGTCAGCTACATATGGCTTCAATAGTTGCAAACCTTCCCCCAGCATTGTTGGTCAATGACAGACAAACCTTTTTGAGAACCCTTCGGAAATTTCCAATCTCTCCCGTTGGAGGTATGTCTGATTGATTTTGATATAACCTTTTATAATTCTGATTCAATTTATGTTACTGTCAAGATTCATTGTTAACTTTTTGTTGTTTGTTGAATGTCTTTTTCCATATGGTGTGTCTTCTCAGTTAATTTTGTGGTTAATATATATGTTGAATTCTATGTATGTAGAAATCTAGTACTTTCGAAAAAATCTTTTTTACCTTTTCCCTTTTTGCGTTTTTTATTTTGGCAGTTCAATTAGCTGCTTTATAGGCCTTGTTGGCCAACTTTAGATTCATATAGATTACCCAAATCAAACTGAAGTTAGCAAAAAAAAGAAAAACATTTTAAAAAAATATAATTTTTTGAGGAGTTCAGCCAATTTAATTTTTTTCCCTATCCAAAACTTTTGGATAATGGGCTTATGGAAAAATGTGTACTTTCAAAAAGATTTTGGAAAGTTTTGGCAGTAATTCGACAAAATTAGACTCTAGAGAGAGAGAGAGAGAGAGAGAGAGATAAGCAGGGAGAAAAGAGAGTGTTGCACCTAAGTTTGTGAAATTATAATTATCTGAGTAGAGTACTTATTCCATGAAAGTGAGATAGGATGCATGTGGATTATGCTTAAGAATTTGATTTCTGGTTGACTTCTTCCCTTGGAAGAAGAATTCACTTGTGGAAGTTGAATTAACTATGTTGGGACAACGGAAGCGCACAAACACACAAATCTAATGAAAGTCAACAAAACAATCATACACAAACACAAGAAATGACTTGGTTGAGCCAAAATTAGGCTAGATCCACAGATGAGAAGAGATTCCACTATAATTCGTAAAGATATTACAATTGCAGAGTACCAACACAACATACATGCCTTTTTACCATGTATCACTCCACGAGTCTATCTCCTCACAACAAGTGACCTTAGGTGTTTTTCCTATCCTACCAACCTACAAACTACCTCTACCCATCAACTCCCTCATGAGACTACATTTCTCTCAATCTCATAAGTCTCAACACACAACCTAAGCATCTATTTATAGAGTTCCAAACTCAATTCCTTGTTGTGGACAAGGATTACAATTCTTTATAGCCAAACACTTGTCAACAAGAAATTACCTAACAAAATACAACTCTAAAATATGAACTAAGAATTCGAGACAATTTCCAACAATATCCACCTTGGCTCAAAAGCCTCAGTTTCCATCCAGTTAATCATTGTTTCCCACAGGATTGATCAGGACAAGAATTTTGCAGCTTCAATCTTGCACACAAACCAAAACTCTCTTGGGACTTCCACCCACGACCCAATCATCCTGATTTTGGAACTTTCACGCATGGAGCCAGTTCCTCCTTTTCCTTCAGATTGCATGCCAAGATGTCATGATCCTCCTGCAAAACTCTTATTGTCCACACCATACAACACTCGATCAATCAAACTTATAAGGCTACACCTTAACAACTGAAACTCCATGCCATGTAACGCATCACAATTTTCTGACCATCATGACCAACCAAGCTAATTGACTTCACCTACAATTGAAACCCATTACACCAACGGTTGAGACCCTATGTGTTTTCTAGATCCCCTTCACCTTCAGCTGTGATACCAATTTGTTAGGATAACGTAAGCGCATGAGAACAAAGATCTAATGAAAACCAACAAAGACCAATGGGTTAGTGGCCTAGCGGTATCAGGTCCTTACTTCCCAACGGGAGGTCAAGGGTTCAAGCCTCAATGGAGGCATGATGTGTATGTGAGTACCAACTAAAAAAAAAAAAAAATCAACAAAGCAATCACACACAAACATAAGATACAGCGTGGTTAAGCCAAAACCGGCTTACATCTACGGATGAGAAGAGATTCCACTATGATTCATAGAGATATTACAATTGTAGAGTACCAACACCACGTACATGCCTTTTTATCATGTAACACTCCACAAGTCTATCTCCTCACTACTAGTGACCCTCGATGTTTTTCTTACTATACCAACCCACAAACTACCTCTACCCATCAACTCCCTCATGAGACTACAACTCTCTCAACTCAAAAGTCTCAACCCACAACCTACGTGCCTATTTACAGAGTTCCAAACTTAATTCCTTATTGGACAATGATTACAATTCCTTAGAGCCCAAAACTTGTCTAACAAGAAATTACCTAACAAAATACAACTCTAAAATAAAAACCTAATTAAATTTGGAATTTGAGACATAATTTCCTACAAACTAGTGGATGTTTTGTTGGGGCAACGAAAGCACAAGGAACATGGAAATCCAACCAAAAACAATAAACTAAAAAACAATCACACAACAAACACAAGATTTATGTGGTTCGGCTAAACCCGGCCTACGTCCACGGATGAGAAAGAGATTCACTATGAATATGTAGAGATATTACAACAGTAGAGAATTCCTAACACAATGTACACAAACTCTTGCCCTAAAGTTCTTCTCTGTGTACTCCACAAGAGTCGAGACTCCTTCCCACCATCGGTATTAACTCCACTTTAACCCGTAAACTACCTTTACCCAACAAATCCCTCACGAGGCTATTACCCTCCACTATAGAATTAGGGTTACATGTCTCTGATTCTCATAAGTCTCAACCAATAAACTAGGGATCTATTTGTAGAGTCCAAAACCCAATTCCGACAAATTATGTGATGTTGTGACTCTAATTTTTTTCCAAACATGACCTGGTGAAAATTTTATGGCTGTTTTTCGCTTACGGGTCGTGAACCTTGTTTAGTACTCTCTTATAGCATGATATATAATGGCACTTAGGGTTTGGAGTGGCATAACGAGAGACTGAAAATCGTAGAAAATAGAGTGAGAGAAAAGCTAGGGTTTGGAGGCTAAAACTTGTAATCCCTTGATTTTCGCATAGTGAAATTTTTTGTCGAATCGACACCGTGGACGTAGGTACAACTTATACAGAACAACATAAATCTTTGTGTTCTTTGTATAGCGTGTTTACTTTTCTGTTGTGCTTCATAATTTGTTCTTGGTTGTCAGCATTTGTCATAACAAATTACAATTCCTTCGAGGCTAGACTTGTCTAACAAGAAATTACCTAATAAAATACAACTCTAAAATAGAAACCTAATTAAACTAGATTATTTTTTTGGGATAAGTTTAATTAGACTAGAATTTGAGATACAATATGTTACGACAAACGTATCAAACCCAAGATAGAACCAGGAATCACGACGTAAACACACCAAACAAAGAATACAAAGATTTATACGTGGTTCGGGAATAGCCTATATCCACGGTGGAGATCCAGCGAAAGTCTTCACTATGTGTAAAATCAAAGATTACAAGTTTTCAACCCCTTACTCTGTTTATGTACGAATTTCAAAGTCTCTCTCTTACACCACTCCAAACCCTAAGCTCCCTTATATATCGGGCTACAAGAGACTAATAAGGGTCCACGATCTATGAGCAAAAATGGATCAAGAAAATTTCCTTGGGGTCTAACGGGTCATTAGGTCGTAAGCGTTGCGACCCAACACCAAATTTGGGCCACTATTGCCATGATTGAGAGAGATATAGTCTCATGAGGGAGTTGATGGGTAGAGGTAGTACACGGATTAGTATAATAGGAAAAACATCGATGACATTGTTATCAAGGAGATAAGCTCGTGGAGTGGTACATGGTGAAAAAACATGTATGAGGTGTTGGTACTCTATTGTTGTAATATCTTTAAGAATCATAGTGGAATCTCTTCTCATCTATGGACGTAGGCCTATTTTGGCTGAACCATGTTGCTTTGTTAGCTTTCATTGGATTTATGTATATGTGCATTTTCGCTGCTCCAACAGATTGGTATCAGAGCAAAAGGTGAAAGAAATCCAGAAAACACAAGAAGTCTCAACATGTGCTGCAACGGGCTTCAGTTGTAGGTGGAGTCAATCAGCTTGGTTACATGGCATGGAGCTCGCGTTTGACTAATTGAGCAACGTATAATGTGGAAAATTAGAGTTTTGCATCAATATCGTTAAGATTGAAGCTGCAAAAGAATTGTTCTAATTAATGCCGTGGGCGATGATTGGCTGAATGGAATTTGAACGAAGATGGAGATTGTTGAAGATTGTGTCTCAAATTCGTATTGTAATTAGGATTCTATTTTCAGAGTTTTATTCTATTAAGTAATTTCTTATTTGACAAGTCTTGGCCTCTAAGGAATCGTGTTTGGAATTCTATAAATAGATACCTAGGTTTTAGGTTGAGACTTATGAGATTGAGAGAGATGTAGTCTCATGAGGGAGTTGATGAGTAGAGGTAGTACACAGGTTGGTAGAGTAAGAAAAACACCGATGACACTGTTAGCGAGGAGATAGGCTAGTGGAGTGGTACATGGTGAAAAAATATGTATGAGGTGTTGGGTACTCTATTGTTGTAATATATTTCTGAATCATAGTGGAATCTCTTCTCATCCATGGACCTAGGCCGGTTTTGGTTGAACCATATATATTTTGTGTTTGTGTGTGATTGCTTTGTTGGCTTTCATTGGATTTATGTATCTATGCGCTTTTACTGGTCCAACACAATATATAACAATCTCCGCTTCGGTTAAAATTCCATCAATTCAATTATTGGTTCCCACAGCAATTGAGTGGGATAGCTCATGTGGCTTCAATCTTGCACAACTCTGATTGCCCCCATTATAAGTTTCTCGATCAGTCAAACTACACGGCTCCACCTTAACTACTCGAGCTCCATGCCGTAAAACCCATCACGATTTTTTTACCATTGAAACCAAACACGTCATTTAATTGACTTCACCTACAACTACACCCTATTGCAACACCTATTAAGACTCTTTGTGTTTTTTAAATCTCCTTCATCTTCGGGTTTGATACCACTTGTTAAGTGTAACGGAAGCATAATGACATCGAGATCCAATGGAAAACAATAAAACAATCACACACAAACATAAGATTTACGTGGTTCGGCCAAACCTGACATACATCCAAAGATAAGATTCCATTGTGATTATGTAGTGATATTAC